CCATCACCGGATTCTCTCCCTCTTCACTCCCCATGGAGGGCACGGGAGAGGAGGCATTGCTGTAGCTCTTCTGGCACGCTTCGGCCATTTTCCTTCTCTTCTGCTGCAGGTAAGCGTGGTACATGGACCAGATGGACAGTGGACGCATGTAGCCAATGGCGCGGTATTTGTGCTCTCCGTACAAGGCCTCGGGGGTCTCAAATCCCTGGCCAATCTTCTCATAGACTGTGCGATAGACACCTTCTGCTGTCTTGAATCCTTGCTCCACCATTCCCTGCAAATGGGGAGAGCAAAGGGGGCGTGATTATAATAATCATTACCTTCCTACCTATAAGTATAGATCACTACACCTCTACAAATAACTAATAATCCATCAGAATATAATGTAAACACACACACACACACACACAAACAGAGGAGGATAAGGAGGATGAGGATGATGATGTGGAGCAAGAGGAGGAGGAGGAGGAGGAGGAGGAGGAGGAGGAGGAGGAGATGGAAAGGAAGGCAAAGGAGATGAAAAAAAAATAGGAGAGGGAGAAAGAGAAGAATATGAGAGAATAAGAAAAGACAAGGAAGAAAAAGAAAAAGAATGATAATAATATGAAGCTGAAGAATCAAAACCAAATAATAATGATAATTAAAAAATAAAAAAAAAAACACCATAGCTCACCTCATAGATCATAGTGGCAGCGAGGCCATAGGTGACCCCCACCCACATCTCCTCGCTCTGCATGGTGTACCTGTCTATACTGCCATCAGGGTTCATGCCGTTCACCGCCCCCATCTCCCCGTTGTTGAACCTCTGGACGTTGTACTCGTAAAGGAGTTCTAAGACCGACTTCACACAGTCTCGTCTGAATACCTGTGTGGGCCAGGATGTATGTTCTTGCTTTTATCTTGCTGTTCTTGTAACTACTATTACTATTTTTACTAAACAGTAAACTAAAAGTAATGATGATAAATAATAGTGGTAAAGATAATAGTAATGATAATAATCAAAATAATAAATATGTTAATAATGATGATGTTATAATAATGATTATAATAATGATAATGTAATAGTATTAATAATAATGATGACGATGATTGTGTAATAATAATAATAATAATAATAATAATAATAATAACAAATAATAAAAATAATAATAATAACTGTTTTGTGAAATGTCTTGGCACACAGATGCAAGTGCTTAGCTCATTTTTGACACTTAGATAAGAGGGAGCATTTTCCTCACCTCAACTGCGGCTCCAGAGAGAGAGAGATACCAGTGACCGACCAGCTGATCTGCCATAATGCTGTGGCTGTGGGGAGCATCACAGCAATCAAACTTGTAATATTTTCCTGTGGGGAAGAGAAAAGGCATCAGAATTTGCAGCTAATGATTAGAGATTTTAAGCGACCACATAATACCGTTTCCCTAATAAAGATGAAATCAACAATATCTATAATGACCTTTACTCACATACAAACACACAAACATGCAGATAAAGACACACAGACATAATCTACAATAAAAACCAACTATAATCTGCAACTCTAATAAAAACCACATTCACACAATACCCAATGGTGATGCTCTTACCATTCCAGAGCTTCTCCTGCAAGGCCACCCTCGCCTTGGCCAGAGCCTCGGCAAACTTCTTCTCCTCGGCCTCGTCCTTGAGCTCCGAGGCCATCTCCACCATGACAGCCAGTGCAGCCACCCACAACGAGCAGCAGTAGGCTGAGGGCCCGTGCATCACCCACGAGTCATAAGTCTGGTCCGCCTGGCCTTCGTTCTCAATCAGGCCGTCGCCATCGCGGTCGTAGGCGAAGCATCGGTCCATTACGGCCCGACACACCGGCCACATGTGCGTGAGGTGATCGAGGTCGCGGAAGAAAGTGTGGTCTCTGTACACCTAAGGCAAGGGAAGGGGAGTCCGTTGTTAGATCAGTTTCTGGTCTTACTGCTTAGAATTTTTTTAAAATAGCCTTATCCAATTTATGCCATCATTATATGCTAAATATGATATCAATGTAAGGAGTCTATGACACCATCATATGCAATTTATGACATTAATAACTAAAACTATTATTCAAAGTAATTTACGACATTATACACAACTTCATTACTAACATGACAAAAGCATCTTTATATAAGAGCAATTTAACAACAAATACATGACATATACATATACTAAAGACCAAAGACAATGTTAGAATTCCATCTCTTGCACATAATTTCTTACCTGTAAAACAAACTTGAGGTTCAGGTCTTTCCAGTAACTAATGTCATGAATCTGGTAAGCGTTTACACGCACAAAGGGCTCATCCTCTGGAAAAATGAACAAGTGATTAAGAAAAAAAAGAAAGGTGTATGAGCAGTAATATCAATACTAATACCAAAAATACACCTATACAGCTCCAATCATAGCTTTAAAATGATTCTAGAATAGCTCAGTTTTCTGAATTTTTATTTTTTCTTCCCTCAACTACCCCCCTTTACCCCGTTTACGAAACGACACCCTTCAACCTGCCCCCTCTATCACCTCACCTGGATCGCCAATATCATGTGGCACAGCGTTGGCCAGCTTGCGCACGCCCTTGTTCCCCCTGAAGAGATGCGTCCGGGGTGTGAGGTCGGCTGAGGTCGTCCACTGGGCCATGTCGTACTGGAGGGACTTCTGTAGCTCGGGCCATAGCATGACGAGGGCCCACGACGCGTAGAAGTGCACGTCATAGGTGTTGTACATCCGGTACTCATGGCTTTCCAGGTATGCGAAGCGGCCGTATTCAGGTCTGGGGGGGGTAGGGAGGGAATAGGATATGAAGGGAGCTTTTTTTTTGTTTTTTCTATTTCTTCTTCTTCTTCTTCCATTCCATATATTTGGTAATGAATATTTCACTGATTGACAGGGCCTTCAGTTCTGACATTCCAAAGTTAAACTCTAGGGCAGCCAAGTCAAGCCCAATATCAGGCTACTAATCATGACTTGTGACTTTCAATTCCTTGTCCAGATAATTAGTACAAAACCAGTCATGGATACTTCATCCTGCATTAAATTTTTCATACATAATCCTTTAGGGTATGCCATTCTAGATACCCCAAGGACACTGGAGGTACTGAGGCACTAATTTAAGTATACCCATACTAAGTTCTCAAGTTCTACTATAACCCATAACATATATGACGATATAGGCAATGCATATATTCAATGGCATAACTAATAATATAACATATCACCTAATCTATATAACAGCACATTACATAAAAACTATAACATATATCATAACACATTCTAATACAAATGCTCTTTCCATATAAGTGCCATCTATATGTTTGTATGAAGAAAGAAAGAAAGAAAGCAAGCAAGCAAGAAAGAAAGAAGGACAGAAAAGAAAGAAAGAAGGACAGAAAAGAAAGAAAGAAGGACAGGAAAGAAAGAAATAAGGACAGAAAAGAAAGAAGGACAGAAAAGAAAGAAAGGAGGACAGAAAAGAAAGAAAGAAAAAAAGAGAAAGAAGGAAACAAAGAAAAGAAAGAAAAAAAAAAAGAAAAGAAAGAAATGTCATTCAACATTAACGACTGATTCACTGGCACCAAACCCCATCCCCGCTAAACTCAAAAGAGCCAATGCCTGACAGCCTTACCGAGTGTCGTAGGCAGGCAGGGGCGTGTTGGGAGAGGGTGTCATCTCGAGCCAGACTGAGCCTCCGTCCGAGATGAAGTAGAGCTCGTTGAAGATGGCACTTTTGAACCAGTCAGGTAAGTCTCTGAAGGGGGTTGTTAAAGAAGGATATTATCACAGTGGAATTGTTGGAAATAATGGTAGTAACATTGACTACCATTATTATATACTGATAATAATAATGTTATAACAGAAATGGTAATTATAGTAGGAGTAACAGTAGTAACAGCAGTAACTAAATGAAGCTGATACTGTAGGAATAACAGGTTCCTAAAATTATCAGTGATTATAATAAACAGTAAAAGATACCAATTGCAAGTAAAAGAAACATTTAATTATCATAATATAGCAGTGAGAATGCTGAATAATGGTACTGATAGTACAGTTGGGGTACTTTGTGAACTTTGTATGTATGTTTCTGTCTGTGTGTGTCTATATAAATATCAATGTATGTGTATCTACATGTGAATATATGTCTTTGTCTATGTGTGCACATTTTTGTCTATGTCTATGTACCTATGCACATATATTTGTTTGTAAGTACAGATAGTCCCCTACTTAAGAACATTCTACTTATGAACATTCCATACATACAAACAAAATTTTTTAAGTACTAAAGTCAAAAAAATTGTTTGAAAGATGCTAGCAAACTTCAAATTTCCGGGGCGCAAATATAGTTCAAGAGTCTGGTACTGTATAAGGTATGTCGTACTTATTGGGATTTATTTACAGGTATTCTTAATGTAAGCAAAACTTTAAAACAATGGGAAAAAAGGTAATGGAGACCTGACTTTCGACATACATACAAATCAACTTACAAACAGCCTCTCAGTCCCCATTATGTTCTTAAGTTGGGGACTTACTGTATCTAAGTGTACATACTTATATGTGAAGATGTGTGCACACATTTGTGCCTGAATATAAAGTGCCTTACTTGTCCTGAAGGATAGGATTCTGCCAATTCTCTATCTCGACTTCCCACCGCTTGTAGCTGTCCAAGGCATAAGAAGCGATCTCCTGGGCTGCTGTTTGCTCGTCCCCAAACCAGCGTGTATATCGTCTGGAGGCAAGGACTCTCGTTATCACAGGGGAAACTAGTTATGGACTCGATATGATTCATTTAATTTTTGTTTTATATTGTTTTATGGGTCATGACTATCTATGTGATCGAATTTAAAGTGTTTGCATTTTATTTCAGTGTGGGGGGTGTATTTGGGTTTTACAATCACTTTTACAAACATTAACATCACTGAGAAGTTATTGAAAAAGACAATCTGGTTAAAAAAAAGAGATGGAAAATGATATGAAAAATAGAAAGAGCACTCAGATCCACCCTCTTCAAAAGTCTGCATCGAGAAAAAAGAAATTGAGGGAAAAAGAAAGGTAGGAAAAAGGACATCCACACAGTATCAACACGGTTACCTGTGGGCGAGCAGGCCAAACACCGGCCAGGCACATGCCCGTCTCACACACACACACACACACACACACACACACACACACACACACACACACACACACACACGCACACACACACACACGCGACGGTCGCTGTCCGAGCTCCTCCCACCTGGTGTGAGTAATCCCCCGGCTTTTGAACACAATTTGCGGCATGTCCCAAGCCAGGGCGATCTCCACCATGCCTGACTTGTTGGCCCCTATGCTACACTTCCCACACACTGCCACCGCTCTCTCTTCACCTTTTCCTAGTGGCAATAATGGTTTCGATTAAGAGGATATTTAATACAGAGATTTTCTTAGGCATGGTGCTCTGTCGGGAGGCTGGGGATGGGCAGGAAGGGGGAACATATCTGTTTTATGGATTGCTGTTCTTAGCGGGTTAGTTTGAGACACTATGAGTATTACTTCTCTATGTTTGGTTATTGTGGCTAGGATTAATAGTAAAAGTCAAGACTAGCAACAGTTATTATCATTATCAACATTCAGATTAATCATATTATTCATTATTCTTTTAATTATCCTTACTGTATTGGTCACTGTTCATAATCACTATTACAAATACTACTTTTATATTTTAACTTTTATTATTACCAACGTCAATTACTAGAATATATCTAAAAACTGAAAACCCATTTTCAAGCAATGGAGTAAGATATTCTTGAGCAGAAATAGGAAAGGACAAAACTTTACACTAAACATTTAAAAAAAAAGACCTAAAAAATTTACTGAAAAAATAATAAAGATAAAAATATACACTAACTAATATAGCAACACAACCTCAATCAATAGAAAGAGAGAGAGAAAAAAAAAAATGACGTGACGTACTTGTTTTTATCAACGGTGCTTCTTTGCTTTCCAGTTCTCCGTCCATTTTCAGGTCGTTCCACACGGAGTCACCGGGCCCTGTGGGGTCGAAGCCAGGGCAGTGGGAGGCAGAGACACCAGGCTGCATTAGGGGGGGGGGGGGGTGAAAGGGAAAGCAAATATTAGAAAAATACTTATGGATACTGATGCAAGGGATAATAAAACTGAAGTAAAAAAGAAAGTTATATAAGGATAACATCAGCAATTTATTTGGCAAACAAAAAAGGAAGGGAAATACACAGAAAGTATAGGGGGAAAGAGAGAGACAGAAAGAGGGGGAGAGGGAGAGGAGGAGGAAGAGGAGAGAGAAAGAGAGAGAGAAAGAGAAAGAGAAAGAGAAAAAGAAAGAGAATGAGAGAGAGAGAGACAGAGAATGAAAATGAGAGAGAGAGAATGTGAGAGAGAGAGAGAGAGTCCTACTTATAAGAAGAAAAGAAAAGAAAAGAAAAAATCAAAAGCATACTAAAAAAACAAAATCCAATAAGCACTATACTATACCAGCCATAATAAGAAGAGGTACTAAAATAATAAAGAAAAAGCTAAAAGTATTTGATTGGGAGGAGGAGGAGGAGGAGGAGGAAGAGGAGGAGGAGGAAGAAAAAGAAGAAAAAGAAGAAAAATGTCTTCTACAAAAGACCCACAAACATGGATGAAACAGAAACGAAGAGAACCATACACACACACACAAATCACTCGCACCCCACAACCACCAACCTTCTCTCTGACGGCCAAACAGTATCGCAGATTGAGACTTTTGATGGTCTGGTGCAGCACGACGCCTTTCGCTTTCCCTTCCTCCAAATTTCTTTCCCAAACTTCGCTCCAACATTCTCCTGAAATGATTTAATTCGCAGAGGTTTTATAAATATCAGAATAAAATAGAACAGCCTACCAAGATTTCTTTTGAGCAACGGCAATTGAAATGCATTATATTTTGATTGGCCATTAGTTTAGGGCATTTCATGACAAAAGTTACTGAATTTGCACATTTTTCTCTTTTTGCGAGAATAACACCGCAAGAGAAGATCCAATAGAATTTTTCCGACAAATAGAAAAAGAAAAAGAAAAGAAAATATCAGATGATGCATATATAATCAGCACTAAAACTATCACAAATTTCTACTTCACTCAAGAACAGAAAAAAGACACATTCTAACATAAAAAAAAAAAAAAAAAAAAAAAATCTGTACAAGCAACTTACCATTTTTATCTTCACTACTGCCTGTGCCGTTCTTGAAAGTGAGAGAAATGGAAACATCACGAGGTTCCGAATTGTGATTTTCAATATTCCATACAAACATACCGACAGGTAAACATGAATCCTGCAAAACAAACACATGATAAGTGATGTTCTATTTCCTACTACATTTTGATTTTCATCTAATCCATCGCAATTAGTCTCTCTTATTAGATTTTGTCTCGCCATTTACTTTAAATTCGCTTTCACTTTTTCACAGGGCTAGGAAGAAATATGAGCATATATCTTATTACAAAAGAAAGATA